GGTGCTTTTTCGAAAAAGCACCATTACACAATTATGCAAATGATGCGTGGGATATTTAAATCCCCACTTCATTTGTAATTTCATAGTGTCTAATTTACATCCCTCTGTTGAAAGAGGGACGTAGTCTAGACACAGTGTATGATACTTAAGCTGCGGAAACACGGCTGCTTCAGGACTTGAGCACCCAGAGGCTCAGGTAGTACCTGAGCTGCAGCTTTAAAAAAATCAATGGTACATCATAGGGGATTTAGGAGCCTGTCTCCCTGTTTACGCATCTGAATCCCTTTAAAAAAAATCTGACCTAGCTTTTTCACTGAATGGTAATAAAGTCCCATCCACAAAGGCTAAAATTTAACTGTGGTGAGGATGTGATAGAATAAAATGTGTATTATTTATTGATTACTTCAAATTTTAAAAATACAGCTCTGTGCCCAGAAACATAGCTGCTAGTAACTCAGCTTGCCTGTTGTCATTTTGCATGACACCACGATTACATGATGTAATTCTGAGTGACAGCCATAGCACATATTCTTAAAGAATTTAATGGATTGTGGGTGTGATAAATACCCAGACTCATTCTACAGTCAGAACACTGTCAGTGAGAGAAGCAGTGAATAAAAATGGCTAGAGGAGTTTGCACTCAACTAGTCTCTGGAGTTCTATGAGAAATAAATTTTGTTACTCTTTTATTTCTATCCATACCCAGTGCAAAAGCCAGGAACTACATACTGAGCTGTAATTTAAATGTAGGTTAGGCTATCATTTTGTGCCTCTGCCTGTCTATTTGTGTCCAAACAAAAAAATAGCCAGTGCTGGAATCTAAAACCTGCTCATCACTGGGCAGCCATGACAATTACTGTACCACTTTTTTTTTTACAGACGACTAAATAGAGACACAGAATGGAGGAGTTACATCACCTAAATCAGTAACTAGAAATGGAAATAGAATCTAGAAGCCCTTATTCCCATATAGTCTTTTATTCTAACCATTTTACCACATGGTTGCAGAAAATATATATTTCACACCATTTTGTATGAGAAATTCACTCCTGTTTGTGGATTGAAATCAAAGATCTTCCTACACACTTTCATCTGAAGTAAACAGTTATGAACATTGATTATCTCTACATTGATTATCTACTGTGTGTGGGCATGGGGGAGGGAGGGAGGAGGGGACAAGCTAGCCACTCCAAGTACAGTATAACTCCGATAGTCCAGCATCCAACTGTTTGGCACTCCCGATACTCCGGCATCAAAATGCCAAGCACTCCTGACCAGCTGATTAAAAAGCCTGCCGCTCAGCACACGTGCTGGCTCTAACCAGATGGAACATAAGGTTGGGGGGCGAGGGAGTGGAATTGGGATTGTGTTACAGTATGGAGAAGAGTGTTTTGCTTCAGCGAAGGGGAAAGGGAAGGGGAGAGACAGGAGGATCAGGTTACAGCACAGAGGAAACGTGAAGCGGAAAGGGAAGGGGAGGGGAGAGGGAGGGAGATTGTGTCCTGGCCAGCTGTTAAGCCATGCAGCTGTACCGGACCTCCCGATTCTCCGGAAAATCTGATAATCCCGCACCACCTAGGTCCAAAAGGTGCTGGATTATCGGAAGTCTACTGTACATGCCTACTCCTTGGACAGATCTGTTTTCAGGTGCCTAATCAAACATGCTGTCATGGCTACTCTCTATTTTTAGTGTGTTGGCTCAGTCAGAGCTAGAGTGGATATATCTTTTTAAACTGGAAATTACAACCCTGTCTCAAAGCATAGTCATAACCATAGTAAGGGACAGCCTCTGCCCTGAAGAGCTTGCAAGCTAGGGTAAAGCATGGTGAAATATGGGAAGTGGGAGCCATAACGGGGACTCCTCAAAATCAGATAATAAAGTCTATCAGGCACCTATTAGATGAGGGCATTTTTAACTCTTGCTGATCTGGGCAGAATTCAAATGGGTGACCTACAGGTGAAATGCTCTTTTAGTTCATTACCAATGTCCTGAGCCACCCAGTTCCCCATACGTGCTAATATTGCACCTTTGAAAATGAAACTTGCCTTCTGGAAAGATAAGTTTATGAAATCAAGATCTGACTTCTTGGCATTGACATAGGCTGGGTATCCCACTCTTCAAATGCACAGGCTCAGCCCCAACACTTTGTTCCTGATCTCCAGCACACGCGCTATCTTTGCCACACCCAGCTCTTATAGGGAGAGCTCCCAATAACCAAATACAAATAACTGAAAAACCAGCACAACAACTCTTAGCATACAATCCCAGTTTACTCTTAAGTACAGCATTTTATGATATGAAAGCATGCCAACAAGTACTCCACATCTTTGCATTAATTTATATATTGATCTATCCATACCTGGCTCATCAACAGACATTGACCTGTTAATTTTCCACAGCACATACTTTTTCTACATCCAGTATAGGAGCAACTAGTGTGGGATAAGCATCCCATGTGGAGCAGCCCAGGTATGGATCCACAACCTATCCCCATTGCCAATGAGTTACACTAGTAGTTGTGAGACAGCAGTGACAGGCTAGGCATCAGGAGCCATGGTTTTTATTCATGATTCCTGGAGCTGATTGGGGTGTATGCTTTACAAACTGCATAGGTAAATGTAACAATCACCCTTGTTGGATCATTTGTAGGGCAGGAAGCCAAGGCCTCTCAAAGTTAAAAAAAAAGACCCTCTATTTCTTGAGCTAAAGAACCAGTTCTCGTAGGCTGGAACTATTAGAAGAGTTATACATTTGCTTGAGAGAGGCAAGGAACCACCCTGTATTAGTGTCAATTGCACAAGCCCCTAATCTGACATGTTTATTTTGAAAGACTATACAGCACAGACGTTGAGATAGGGCTCAGTTATGTTAGACCCATGGGTTCCAGTTCCAGTGTTGCTTTGTGAAAACTCTCAGTTCCCTTATCTGTGAATATGGTGAATCAGAACTTCCTCCAAGGTATGAAATCTTGGCTCAAACTAAGGGCTGTGACGGACACAGAAATATCAACAGTCATTGCTTTCTAATCAGTGGGGGTATGTCTACACTACCCCGCTAGTTCGAACTAGCGGGGTAATGTAAGGAGAAAAGGGACACGTTGGTTATTTTACTTGTGACATTAGAAAAGATCAGAAGTTCAAAGTTTAAATATATTGGTGTATCAGCCACAATTATTAAATATCTATATTTCCCATGGAGGCTAAGAAGGGGTTGGGATTAGGTATAAAGGGTTTGATTCTGTCACAAAACAAAACAAAGGACTACAGTGCTACAATAAAATCCTATGGAGTAACTCTCTGTGGGTATGTCTACACTACCCTCCTAGTTCGAACTAGGAGGGTAGTGTAGACATACCCTGGAAGAGCTAGAACTAACATACCTGGCCTTGCTGCTTAGTGTGGCTTCTATGACACTGTGGGACAGCATGGAGGGGTCCCTCACTGCACCTAAAAATCACATGAAGTTTGCAGTCTTTTACACTATCAAAAGATGATTTGCATTCGGGGCTCAAGTCACATTACTTGCAGTAAATGCATGGGGGTGGGCCACACTGTAGTGACTAATCTGTCTTGCATATAACAGAGTCATAGTGTCCCTAACGTCTGCCAGAAGCTGGGAATGGAAGACAGAGGTTGGGTTACCTTTTCTGTTCATTCCCTCTGAAGCTCCTGGCATTGGCCACTGTCAGAAGACTAGAGCTAGATGGACTTAATATGACTGTTCTTATGTACCTAGGGAACAACTGTTCTCATCCATTGACTACCTATCTTGTCACCTAAATTTCCTCACAGTTAATTATTTAATTAACCATTTCATTATTTGGGTTGCCACTGAGGGTACTTCTACATTGACCATGGAGGGTGATTGCAGCATTGTTGACCTGCATGCCCACACTAACACTAACCAGGGGAGCCAACAGTCACATTGGGCCTTTGGACAAGGTGAAGAGGGGCTCTGGCTCCATGCTCCAAGAAGGGGCAGGATCTCAGGTGGAAAGGGCAGGGCCGGGGGTAGCCAGTCCTGAGCCACCCAGAACAAGGTACTCCCCACAGCGTTTAGGGCCACCTGGAGTGCATGGCACATTGTTCTGGTGGTGATTTAAAGGGCCCACTCCGGGTGCTACAGTTGCTGTAGTAGCAGCGGCAGCAGCTAGTGGTTCTGGTCTCCTTTGAATCACCAGACCCCCTTCTCAACTCCTCCCCCCATCAGTGGGCCTGACATTAACCTAAGTAAGATAACTAAAAATATTAGTGAAGAAAAGGTGGAAAATATTCCACATGGTCCATATAAGCCTGCTGAAGGTTGTGCTGCTAGCTCCCACTGAAGCCTGCATAACTGTGTCCTTCACTGCAATTATTGTGCACACTAGCAAGATTAAAGCTAGCACAGGTATATTTACCCAAGTTGCTATTGTACTTCCAATTGTAGTGTAGACATACTATGAAAAAGCTGTGCTGCTTACTGAAACAGAAATATACCTACTGCTGACATACTTAATAAAATACATGCTTTTGATTGAAGAGAACTTTTTTAGGGCGACTAAATTAAAAAAGATGCAGTGGACCTTTATAGCTATGGAATTAGATTGAGGGTATCTTGTTATTTCACACACCGTGGATGTAAGGATGCAAAAAACCTCCATGATGTCAAATCATATAATATTTGACACTGTGCATTGATAAATTAGGTTGTGTTGTATTGTATATGCACAAAAGGACAAGTAAAGGATCTGCATACCTAAAAATCACATGAAGTTTGCAGTCTTTTACACTATCAAAAGAAGATTTGCATTCGGGGCCCAAGTCACATTTTCTGGTTAACTGAGTGCTTTAACTATACAAGCTCAATAATCACTTACCGGTTGCTTTTTATGGCATGTATATACAGATGTGTATATTTATATTTGTTTGCACTGTGTCATTTCAATTTCTGATTATTTAAACCAATTTTATCAGGGTATCATGGATTCCCTTTTATGTACCCTTTTATGTCTTCATAGCTGGCAAATGGAAGGTGTCTCTCCTCACCAGTGATATCCCATCTGCAGGAACCAGCTCACAGGTTTATATTATATTGTATGGGGATTACAATAATTCAGGACCTATCTTTCTGTATGGAGAAGAAAGGGAATTGTTTCAGAAGGGCAATGAAGACATCTTCACTGTAAGTAATTAAATATTCCATATATTGTGTATTGTCCTTGGTGGCCTAGCAGATTACATAAAATGAAATGAAAAGGACAGTCAGTTTTTGCACAGTAGACCAGGAAACAAGTAATGCTACATTTAAACACAGAGCTAAACTGAATTATTTTTCTTAAATGCCAATTAAGTTCAATATAATTCATTATGAATCATATAATTACTGTGTATAAAACCAAATAATTAACTGCAAAGACTAGAGAAGCCAAACGTTTGGGTTCCTTTTTGAGACTTAAATCTGAAATGAAACAGTAGAGCTCAGGTGGGAATTAGGTGTCTAAACACCTTTGAGAAGCAGGGCCTTAGTCTCTGCCTCAGTTCCCCATCTGTAAAATAGGAATAATGATCCTTCTCTATCATCCAAAGGTGATTAAAGACTGTGAGATGCACAAACAGTATAGGGATCATAGAAATACCTATGATGGCTATTTTAATACAAAAACATCAGCACAAAAACATAATACACATGAACTCCAAGAGTGTCTTGGAAACCCGGAGGAAAAAGAAAATGGCAATAGTACAATAGAAGCCAAATTATCAACAGAAAAGCAAATTTCATTTAAAGCAGTGGCTTCAGAAACAGTCTTAGGGTACGTCTAGACTACCGCGTTTTGTCGACGGAAGTTTTGTCGACAGATACTGTCGACAAAACTTCCGTCGACAAAGAGCGTCCAGACACATTGAGTTCTGTCGACAAAGCAAGCTGCTTTGTCGACAGAACTCCATAGTCTGGACGCAGTGTTACAGGTAATAACACCTTCTGTCGACAGAGTTCTGTCGACAGAAGGCGTTATGCCTCGTAAAATGAGGTTTACCAGCGTCAACAAAACTGCTGAGTTCTGTCGACGTTATGTCGACAGAACTCAGCGGTAGTGTAGACGCTGGTATAGTTTTGTCGACAAAAGTCCACTTTTGTCGACAAAACTAGGTAGTCTAGACACACCCTTATTGAGGTTAAAGATCTTTTGAAGCACTGAAGGATGCACCCAACAATGGTCCAGGGAGCAGGTAGATTAGGGTTGCTTATACAAAAGCAAACACAATTCCTCTTCCTACCTTTGTTCCCCCCCCCTCATTTCTCTCCTGTATCTGAGACATTTGAACAACCTTTTTAATGCCCCTCTGGACTAGTCTTGCCATAGGCTCTCTCTGTTTGACAGGCATATCAGCAGAAGGGAAGCCAAGCATTTGCCTTTATGTAGCTCTGTGCAGGAAGTTCTTTTCCCAAAGCACACAGGAATTAGTACCCAAGGGTTTGCTTCACATGCACTTCTGCAGTGTAAGTGAATTCAGAAGATGCACATTTCAGGATGTTGCACTGGGAGTAAAGCAATTTCAATGAGTGAGCTAAATCACAGGAAAACTCATACCCGAGGTTGAAAGATGTTCACTAGTAAGTTCCCAAAGGATGATCTTTAAGTTGATAAGAGCACCCTTGTTCACACCTTGCTGTTTGGCAGATTAAGGGTATGTCTACATTACAAAGTGAATTCGAAATAACAGCCGTTATGCAAACCGCTATTTTGATTTTAATAGCAGAGTGCTTATTTCAAATTTGGTAAACCTCATTCCACAAGGAATAATGCCAAATTCGAAATGGCTATTTTGAATTAAGTGCTGTGTAGACACTTAATTCGAAATAGGGGGCCTCCAGCCCTTCCCAGGGAGCCCTGGTGGCCACTCTGGGCACAACCAGGAAAACTCTTCTCCTCTCCCGCAGCCCCGGGGCTCTTAAAGAGGTAGAGTCTGGCCCCTGGGCATGTGCCAGGCATGCCAGCAGCCGCAGACCCTCACCTAGTGGCCGCACAAGGGCAGACAGTGGCAGCCAGCCATCCCCCGCCCAATCCCCCAGCACCCAGGGGCCAGCCAAGGGCCGTAGACTGTGCGCACCTGCCTGGACTGGTGCAGAGATCATGGACTTCATTGAGGTGTGGGTGGAAGCCCCCAATGTCCATGATCTCTGCACCAGTTGGAGGTATGCCATCACCATGGCCCGCAAGGGACACAGGCGCACCCAGGAGCAGGTGTGCCTGAAAGTTAAGGAGCTGCGGCAGGCGTACGCCAGGGCCACCAGGGGCGGTACTGCAGCAGGGGCTACCACTTGTCCCTACTTCCCCAACCTTGACTGAATCCTGGGGGATGGGACGGTCCACGCCAGGCCAAGGGTCAGCGAGCCGGGAGCTGAGGGCCCTGACCCAGGAGCAGCAGAGGGGACACCACCAACTGTCCCGGCACCGGAGTCGGCAGGGTGGTCTGGGGAGGCCATACCAGGTAAGTGCCAGCACTTTCCCCTACCTGGGGGGGAGGTGGGGAGGGAGACCAGGGACCGCGCGTGCGGGCCATGCCTCTTATGGATCATGCAGCCACCTGTGCACATGTGGGCATGCACCGTGCCACCCTTGGGCAGGTGGCTCCAGCTGCGTGCCACACAGGGGCCATGGCCCGATAGCCACACGTGTGTGTGAAGAGACCAGACACGCTCCCGACCTCGGGGTGGGACACAGCAGAATGCCCTCCCTTCACATACCCCCTCTACAGGGGGCCAGGGGACATCTCCCCTCCCACCCCAGCTGCACTATACACAGCACAGGGGCACTGGTGCAGTCTCGGGGCAGCTTCCACTCCCGGGCAGAGCTGGACATGCCGAACATGGCCTCTGTACAAACACATCGGTTCTGACGATGCAGGGCATGGTCGCCCTCACCTATCACAGGGGGCTGGGCATCATCCACTGAGTCCCCAGGGATAACTGACCACTTCTCTTGTTTCTCCACGGCCGCACCAGCTGCACGTGCAGGGCGCACCACCCTGCCCGGGATATGCCCCAGCACCCGCGGCCTCAGCAGGACCACCACCACGTGGCAGGGGTACAGAGAGCAGCACCTGCAGGCCCTGTAAGCCCAGACCAGGATCATGGAGCAGTGGGCTCAGATGACCGGGAGTTCCAGCGGGAGCTGCTTGCCCAGGGTCGTGCCATCTGTCACCATCTGCAGGCCCTGGTGCAGAACGTGCTGCCCAGTGCCGGTCCTGCCCCTGCTGTCCCCCCCCTGCCACTGTTCATTCTTCCACTCCTGTCCCCCCTCCCACCTCTTCCTCCTCAACCTCCACACTCTCCTCCTCAATCTCCACACTCACCACCTCAACCTCCGCACCCTCCTCCCCATCCCCCCAGGGACACCAAGGCCCCCTCTCCCTTGGTGCTGGAAGGCAGCTGGCCTGGCGAGACCCCCACCCCTGAGCGCTGAGCTTCCCCTTCCCCTTCTTCCCCTTGCTTCCCCCTTCCAGCTCCCTCCTCCAAGTTTTCCGCCTCCCCTCTCCCACCCTTTCTCCTCCCCTCTCCCGCCACCCTTCGCAGTCTTCCCAGAGTTTCATCCCCCCACAGTTTTGTTAAATAAACAGAGTTTGTATTTTTGAGACAGAAGTGCATTTTATTTGACATCAGGAAGGGGGGCTAGGGAAGGATAAGTGGAAGGACGTGAGGAAGGAATGGGGCAAATGTCCCCAGTCGATAGATCTCGGATAGCCTGAGGCAACAGACCCACACACTAAGTCCAACCCTGATGCCCTTCTGGCACTGGTTCCGGCCAACCTTAGCTTTGATTCAGGGTCCACTCAATGTGGACATGTTATTTTGAATTAGAAAAATGCTATTTCAAATTAGTTTTTGTGTCTAGATGCGTTATTTCAAATTAGCTTATTTCGAATTAACTAATTCGAAATAGCACTTTAGTGTAGACATACCCTTATATTCAAAGTTGGAGTACTAAGATCTCTGCAGCCATGTTTAGCGTTGGACATATACACCCATCACTCCCAGGAAGTAATCTGCTAAACACAGACTTATGAGACAATCAAAATAGACCATTTTATCCCAAGAGATGCTGTATTTTAAACACCACACAATGCCTGATTGTTACTTTTCTGCAGGAAACAGTTTTTTAACAGGAATATAATATGCAAGTGATGGCCAGTGAACTATTTATTCTTTGGCAATTTTCTTTTAAGGAGCTAAATGCAATTTATCCATTTATTTCCTTTATAGATTGACACTGGAGACATAGGAGAGCTCTATAAAATACGCATAGGACACAATAACTCTGGAGAATCCCCCTCTTGGCACTGTGAAGAGGTGAGAACCCTGAGCAGGTGGTTTATATTCTTCAAAACAACTGTTGTACCCAAATGAGCGAAAGAATAAAAAAAATCCTGGGGGAATGTTTCAGTCAGATGCTGATGCTTTTATTGCATCATTGAGAAAACCATTTATTGTGAGTTGTTCTTGAGGGGAGTTTATAGCAGCCCAAGAGCTGCATTGATAAGGTTTCAGTTTCAGTGTATCTAAGTATGTCCACTGAATATTTATGATAATTCTAAATGACAAATTATATATTGAGTATTTATGTGGTTTATAGGAAACGTTTTTATAGGCAATATCAGAAATCCTTTCATTCTGTTTCCAACCCTTGCTGAGGCAAGATGTGGCAAGTGGGCTCCGGGAGATAGGCCAGCTATCTGACAGTATGGAGACCTGATTTCTATTCCCAGATTTGCCAGCCACCTACTGTGTTACCTTGAGCAAGTCACTTCACCTTTTTGTGTCTGTGTCCTCATCTGCGAACTGAGGGTAGCAATGTTTAACTTCCTTTAGCACCTTGAGAGCTACAGATGAAAAAAGCGAATCATTACAATTAATGTTTGAGGGCAGATTCAGACATGGTATCAATGGTTGTAGTTCTATTGGAGTAAATCTAGTTACTGTCTTGTACATGATGACCATGTATGGTCAGGATTCTTTGACCACATTTACCCAGTAACTGCATGCTATGTCCAGGTGCTTCCTTAGCTTCTTCCCTAGGAAGCTACAGATGAAAAAAGCGAATCATTACAATTAATGTTTGAGGGCAGATTCAGACATGGTATCAATGGTTGTAGTTCTATTGGAGTAAATCTAGTTACTGTCTTGTACATGATGACCATGTATGGTCAGGATTCTTTGACCACATTTACCCAGTAACTGCATGCTATGTCCAGGTGCTTCCTTAGCTTCTTCCCTAGGAACAAAGCAATTGAAAGGGGCAGGGCGTTGGGCAGAAGGGGCGGCGCTAGGGGTAACTAGCCCTAAGCACCACCTGCAGCATACCACACATGCCCCACCCAGCTTGCGTGCCATTGCGTAGACAGCAATTTAAAGGCCTGGGGCAACTGACTGGACCCCAGGGCAACTGTCTCCTTTGTCTCCTCCCCTAGTTGGTGACTCTGCCTAGGAATTAAGGGATACCTCAATAGCTGACAGAGTATACGTGTTTCCCAGCTCCTGTTGGCCTTTGGACAGCGTGACGTTTCCTATATGCCAGGAGACTCTTTAAGGATTGCTTAAGGCAGGAGCTCATAATGGAGGAGAGCAACCATTAAAACACTAGAAAAGGCTGGAGGGGCAGGCCACCAGCCCTCTTTAAGCTACTTTCTTGAAGGGCTGGTGTTAGAAGAGGAGGGCAGCTGCCATCCATGTTAGGGTTATTGATATACTTATCGATTTGAGTCTCATATAATCTGAATCCTGAGTGAACCTACAGGTGTTGGCCCTCCATCGGCCTCTGTGAATAGACTACACAGTCTGCTTTCTGTGTGGTACATCTATTTAAAATGAGAGACTAAAGAAACCAGGCCAAAAACAAAAAATTGTATTTGGGCTCTTTCTTTCCTCCTCATCTTGCCTCTGCATATGCAAGCTGGTAGATCTTAATTAAAATCAATGGCATGTCCGTGTACTCTGTTGATTCTTGCCTTGCAGTCTGTTTTGTCTATTTACCTGGTTTCATCTTAAATGAAAACAGCTGGAGCAAAACCTCAGCTCACCACAGCTTTTAGGAAGCAGTCCATCAGTGAGGGCTCAATCATTCTATCTGCTGTGCAGCTTTGTAGCCCAGAATACTCAGAGTACAAAACACTCTGGCTACATCTAGACTGGCATGATTTTGCACAAATACTTTTAACGGAAAAGTTTTTCCGTTAAAAGTATTTCTGCAAAAGAGCGTCTAGATTGGCAAGGATGCTTTTGCACAAAAAGTGCTTTTGCGCAAAAGCATCCGTGCCAATCTAGATGCGCGTTTGCGCAAGAAAGCTCTGATGGCCATTTTAGCCATCGGGCTTTCTTGCACAAAAAATTAAGGTGCCTGTCTACACTGGCCCTCTTGCACAAGTATTCTTGAGCAAGAGGGCTTATCCCTGAGTGGGAGCTTGAAAGTATTTGCACAAGAAGCACTGATTTTGTACATTACAAAGTCAGTGCTCTTGCGCAAATTCAAACGGCCAGTGTAGACAGCTGGCAAGTTTTTGCACAAAAGCAGCCACTTTTGCGCAAAATCTTGCCAATCTAGACGCACCTTCTGATTGTTTCAGCCATGGTTCTTTCCCTCATTGGACTCTGTATTAGAAGCTGCATAGGCAAGTAGCATAGGGCTACCTATGTCATTCCTGCATCACTTCTGCACTGGGGCTATTGCCTTGGGGGGTCTTCAAATGAGGTGCAAATTGGACAAGGCAATTCCTGTGATGGTTTAAATGAGAAAGTGTAATTAGCCCAAGCCCTGATGTTGCAGTACAATCTGCTAGCACAGAACCCTGCAGTTGTGTGGAGCTCAAGAGACATGAGCAGGAGTTGGCCCAAGCTGAGAAGCCTGTCCTAGCAGAGCTGACTTTGCATTGGTGTGTAGGTGACTTAAACAAATGATAATTGTCATTGCTCTTGTAGGTGCAATTGCAGAACCTTTTCTCAGGAGAACAGTTTGCTCTCCCTACCCACCGATGGCTGGCTCAGGACAAAGATGATGGTGAAATCTGCAGGGAGCTTCCTGTTTTGCGACGGGGCCAGCCTGTACTTCCAGGTAGGTGAAGTGGCACATCAGGCAACTCAAGTCACAAACCGCTCTCTGTAGAATTCAATTGATTGTTTTTCATTGGTTACTCATTATTGTTTGGCAGCTGCAATCCTTTTTTCTCTCTTGTCTTTTCCCTTGTGGGAGGATGGGCACATGCAGCCCCCAAGCTTGAAGTGTAACAGGGTGGTGACCTGAAATGTCTTTGATCAAATGTCCTGAATTTCATAAGTCCTTTAAACTTAGGATCATCTCACTGCGGTTTTACAGATTTAAGCAGCCCTGTTTATTCTGCACCTGGAAACACAAACTGCAGTGAATAAAAAAGATTTTTTTGTTTGTCTTTTTACTTATCAAGAAGATCAGGAAACAAAAATATATATATAACTATCATGATGCCGTCATGTACAAACTCCAAATGCTCCTGGGGATATCATGGGAACTGCAGTTTTGTAAAGGTCATGTGTATTTGAATAATATAATTTCCTTTTCTGTTATCTGGGAGTTCTGCAAAGACCACACTCATGCAGAGCAGTTTAAAGCTAAATAATGCTTTGAAATGTTCACAAATTTAAGTGGATCTGTGCTGACTCCAGATTTAAATTGGGGGAGTGAAAGATGGGTGAAACAGAGAACATCCCAAAGGTGGCATGTCGAGGGAGGTAGTGCACTGGGACATACATAGGCTGGGCATAGATGACTGGATAATACAGAGGTATGGCTGAGCTAAGGTAAGGAAGGAGGCAGAGGGACATGACAAAGGCATGTAGTGTGGGATCCTCACATATTAATTAATCTTAATTAGATCTGCCCTTCAGGGGAAAGACAGATTATTTGTCCCTTTGCCCCCCCCCCTGGTAGCCATAATTTGTCAGGGAGTACTATGTAGAAAGGCTAGCCATTATGAACCACAGTGCTTCAGAGCATGAGGATTCAGAGCAGGCATGACTATGGTCCTATCCCCATACATTAGATGCTTGCTGCTTAGAAACGCCAAAAGGCCTGCTGGCTAAATCCATAAAATAGGTATGACCATTGCTACTCATTAAATCCCTCTCCCCAGTGCAACAGAGACACTGTGCTTGCTCGTTTGTCTAACAGACATGCTGTAGTTCAAAAAGGAATTAATTTAGGAAGGTCCCATGGCCTATGTTATACAAGAGGTCAGACTTGATGGTCAGATTGATCCCTTCTGGCCTTATAATCTACTGCGCAGAGATGTCTTTGGGACCCCCCTACTTAGATGTACACTCCTACCTCCATACCAATGTTGTTAGAAGTAATGGAACATACAAGCAAAGTAATCACAATGGCAATAGTGTTATGTTAATTTCATTGTTAAATCAAACAGACTAAATTCCTTTTGCCCATGACTCAGCCCTCTTATCTTCCTTCCTAGCCCCAGCAAATCCAAGCTTTGATTCCATGATCCTAACCCTTCCCTCCCAGTTTTCCACCCCTTCCCTCCATATAGATAAGCAGTTCATCCAGGAATCAATTAAATGATTAATATTTTGTTTATCCAATAGTCTTCATCTTGTTATGCCTTGAAGACTAGTAGCATACCTAAAATACCATCTCGTGCTGAATCTTATGGTTGGCAATTTCTCCTTCTCAAATCAGAGAGTGTAAAGAGCTTCTAAACACTTCTGCCAACCAGAGCAAAACAGAGGTCATGCTGAAGGCTTTTTGGTTTTCTGCTTTAACTAAAAAACTGAAAGGCTGGTCCCCTCTCTTCTTACCAGTGTTCACTGAAGAGATATCATAGCTTTTCTCTTCTGAGAAGCTGATTTGGTAAACCAAAGAAATAAAGAGAATTGGACTTTGTATGAAAGTGAGAGGGTCAAGAGCCACTCTTCAACCTGATACTCTGAGGCTGTGTCTACACTGGGCCACTTATTCCGGAAAATCAGCCACTTTTCCGGAATAAGCTGCGAGCTGTCTACACTGGCCCTTGAATTTCTGGAAAAGCACACTGTTCCGGAAAAGGGCCAGTGTAGACAACCCAGTAGTCTTTTCCGGAAAAAAGCCCCGATCGCGAAAATGGCGATCGGTGCTCTTTTCCGGAAAAGTGCATCTACATTGGCCACAGACACTTTTCCGGAAAATGGCCCCGATCGCCATTTTCGCAATCTGGAAAAGACTACTGGGTTGTCTACACTGGCCCTTTTCCGGAACAGTGTTCCGGAATAAGGACTTATGCCCAAGCGGGAGCAGAATAGTTTTTCCGGAATAGCGGCTGATTTTGTACAGTAGAGCGTCATTGGTTTTCCGGAAATTCAAGGGCCAGTGTAGACAGCTTGCAGCTTATTCCGGAAAAGCGGCTGATTTTCCGGAATAAGTGGCCCAGTGTAGACACAGCCCATGATTCACAATCTCCTTTGCAGATTCCCTGCCGCACAGGGGAAGGAGGTCAGGTTAACACCTGCAGTAGTATATGCTACCTGAGATATTTCTTCCTTCTTCACCATTACTTGTGAGAGGTGGGGACAATGTAGTGACTGTAGAGCTGCCTTATCTAGATTCCTGCCCACTCTGCTGCCTAAGAGTGCCTTTATACAGCCTTACTCTCTAGCACTGCTGGGTCACAAAGTGTTCCTAAATGGGACTGAGACCAACAGAATCTTCATTCCCCTCATACATCTGATTTTGGCCTCCATGGCTGAGAGAGCAGTGGCAAGAGAGGAAAACCGTATTTGATTCTCTCCTCTTCTCCTGGTTCCCGAACTAACGCAACTGTTACTCCGACCGACCTCAGGTAACGAAGTCCCATTGGGCTTGAAGGGTGCCAGAACAGCTTGGGAAAGGAGGCTTTCCTACCCCATTTTTATGTTTGGAATGAAGAGAAAGCAGATTCTTCCTCCTCCACACGTCTCCCATAAACATGTTTCAGTGGTTTCTGTTCAGAAGCAGAAGGGCAAGGATGCTATTGTACTTCAACAGTAACAAAATCGTCCATGTCTCTCACAAACCCTGCAGGTCAATTTTCTGCACCCTGCACCGAGGAGGCAAACAGCATCAACATAGCTGTTAGAACCAGCACTCACTGCGCGGGGGGCGGGGAGGGGCAGAGGGGAATCATTATTTGTTGCTTATATTGTAGTAACACCTTAGGATGTGTCTACACTGTAAAGAAAACCTACCGGGCTGCAGAGCCTGCGTCAATTGAGCTCCAGGGCTCGTGCTGTGGGGCTAAAAAGAGCAACATAGACGTTCAGGCTCAGCAGGCTGGGGTATAGGCTCCAAAACACAGAGGGTGCAGCTTGAGCCCGAGCAGTTACATTGCTGTTTTTAGCCGAAGCCCCAAGTAAAATGGGACTTGGAGACTTGGAGCCTCTTTATTGCAGTGTGGACAAATGCTTAGACCCTGTTGTGTTAGGAGATGTACAAACAAAAGGTCCCAGTTCAGAAGAGCTTATAGTCTGCAAATGGCAAAAGCAGTATGCATCTTTTGAAACAGGGGATTAGAGGAGCTGTGGCAGAATGGTCACATTCACATATGTATGCAGCACATGCTTATACAAACACCCACGCTAGTATCTTCCTCTAGAGCTCTGGCACTTCTTTGGCCCTAGCAGGAATTGGAGCAATTATTGTTTTAAATTAAAATACTCTCAATCATAAGCTAGCAACTGCCCAAAGCCCATAGAAAATGTCCTTGATCCAAACAAAAAACAAAGAAGGGAAGGTGGCAGTGTCTAGAGGATAGAGTTAAGTCTATTTTGCATACCTGAAGAATGTAATTCTGTAGTTTTCTATTTAATCTTAATTTTGAATTATGTGTTTTTAATGTCTCTCGCTTTTTTTCTTCAGCTTTACAACTGTATAAATGTAACCCATAAGTTACTGTTCCCAATATTAACTACAGTTTAACAGTGTTTTGACTTGGAGTTTTATTTTTGTCATATTACATATTTTGTATTAAACACCTAAATGTGTTACATTTTCCATTTATAGCCCTTCCCTTTTCTTCCCTTCCCAAAATTTACAAAGTGATTAAAGAAGATTCCCCATCAAATGAAAAAAAGAAATAATTGACTACTGTTATTGCATGAAGCACTGAACTATTAAGGCAATGAAGCATTATTTGATGCTGTAAAGTGGAGACACTGGTGCCAGAATTTATTTTTTAACCAATGCTTTTAAAGGGTTGATGGCTGCTGTCTGGCATAATTGTGGTCTGACTGCTTATGTTGATGCTGATCTTGGATTTGCTTTGTTTACTTTTCTGTTTTATAATGACTAGAAGTGGTGCTGTTGGACAAAGATATATTGTGCATTTAGAGCTGATCTTCAATTTGCATTTGCCACTGAGAAGATCAGCTTGGAATAAACAGCATACATACAAAATCAGAACAAATTTGGATATCATTTTACTTAATATTAAATTGAATTTTTAATTAACTGAAAAGTATATGGTAGTGGATCCATGTTACAGATGTATTTATACTGCATAGTCACTCTGCTTTACAAAGCAGGATATAGCTATAACTAGAGTAGTGTTTGTAATGTTAAAAACTTGCCTTCTTTTAATGTCAGTGACTGTGTATGAGGTGCATGTGACAACAGGAGAGCTGTGGAATGCTGGAACGGAAGCTGATGTTTATATTTGCATCCACGGGGAAGAAGGTGATACAGGCTCCAGACAGCTACTTAAGTCAAAGAATCCTAGGAAATTTCTAAAAGGACAAGTGAGTGAGAAGAAGCAAAGGTGCCGATCCATTTGTCTGTCCTTTCTAGCTCTTTACCTGTTACAGGCCAAGGTGGGAGTTTCCCTAGCAAAGATCCCGAGTACACTGCAAAGTTCATAGAAAATCTACACAATTAAACCAAACTTATTTTTAAACATTTCCATTGACATTTTGGGGGAAATTATAATACATAATTATTTTAAAGGTAAAGTGTATACCGTTCTTTAAAGTTCTTAATTATTTAAAGAATATATATGGAGAGAAGAAATAACTTGAATAAAATACAGATTTTATTATAGTCTGTTACTAAGTTACATTACAATATGCAATTGTTTTGTTTACTAAACTTTGGTCTTTAACCTCACTCTAGTAATTGTGGTGTTTTGAGTTAGACTACACACACCAACATAGTGATCAGGATTAGTTCTTTAATTATAATAATTGTTCCTGGAAACCGGTTTTGCTTGTCTGCTTTGACATCAGTATACATTATTTCATAGAGCATATTGGGATGCTTGTACTTCATAGAAGAGTTGTATAGGTTTTATATAGTAGGTTTTATGGGGCCCATGGCATAGGGAGTTCTTGGTTTTGAGATCTAATTGTACTTTTCTTGGGTGGTTTGCAGACTGACATCTTTCAACTTGAAGCTGTGCACCTTGGAAATTTGTACAAGATTGTTATAGGACACAATGGACTTGGATCAGGTCAGAAATTGCTACATATAGTAATTAAATACTGAGCACAGATTTCTGGGAAATTAGAGTAGATATTTGTAAAATGTTCATATGAAATACTCTGACCAAGTTATTTTATGGGGTGAGGTAAAAGAATACCAACCATTAAAATGAAAAGGTCACAGTTTGGGACCATCACAAAGTCCAAATAATCTTCCTTAACCTTCTATTATAATCCAGATAATTGTATTAAAAAGTTATTTCAAAAAAGAGTACCGAACATTCTAGTTCTGTCATTCCCCTTTGAAACACTGCATTTGTTTGTCTCTTCTTCACTTTGAATATTTCATTGTACAGTCTATACACTGTAAGTCCACCAGAGGTGGGCTATTGCTGTAAATAAAATGTATTTGCATCATTATTATATGAATTGCAGCTGTTCCTGAAAAGTTCCAAGCAGGGATTTGGGGTGCATTGTGCTTGGCATTGTACACACCATTAATGGAAATATGGGTTATGAACAAAATTGCCTGTGATCACAAGACTTGGATATACTTGACCCTTGAATATCAAACTCTGTAGTTTGATTAATACCAGACAGTCTGGGCCACAGTGTTGTGTAGAGGTGTCCATTTATTCTGTCTTGATATTTTAGACACAGGCAGAAATACAGTTAAACTTCCCTTCTCTCTTGATTCCCCTCATCACTCATTGCTAGATCATCCCACATAATGTACTTGCAGAGAACATCCCAACCCCTCTCCATGTGGAAGGGGAGAAGAGGCACTTCTGTACACACACAATGTGTCTCTCATTCATTGGCCTTGCACAGATTCCTCTTGCCTGGAACTCTGCAAGTAAAGAGCATGGCGACCTTTTAAGAGAGGAGTGGTAGAGCAGGTTAAATGAGATGTCTCTTTCCATTGTACTATTCCCACTTTGCGCTCAGATTTTTTTCACATGGAAACCAAGGAAAGTCATGATTGGGAGCTGTGATGTTTGCTCTGCATCCCTTTGATGGCTTCTGCTAAATTGCTGTGAAAGAACCCAATTAATGATTAAATAACTATTATTGAACCAGGCTGTCAACTGGAAGGGAGACCAGCAGTGAGTAGCCTCACCCCCAACAATTCCTTTTCCCAAGTATAAATCCCTAAGAATCACAGGGTTAGAAGGGAAAATGGCTCAAGAGAAACCCTCTGTGGGGGAAAATTCTTGAGTTTCCCGGTCCTCCAGACAACCTCTTATAGTTTTTTCAGAGACAGTATTTAATATGCAACCCCATCTTTAGAGACTACACCATTATTATGATGATTATGATTATGAATTTGTTTATCTATTTGTATTACAGTGATGCTTAGAAACCCTAGACTAACTCAGGGTCTTTTTGTGCTAAGCCCAGTACAAAATCATATTGTGACATTGTCAGCTCTAGAAAGTTTGCAGTCTAAGTAGACAGGCTGGACAAATGAGCAAGAGACACAGGAAATGTCTGCCGTCTTGCAGTCCATATCTGCTTTTATTGGAAGCACTTCTTCTAAGCAATTAAATGTTTTAATTAATATTTGGATGATTGCTCATAGCAGGGTTGACTGTATCTTAATGTCCCCATTTTTGCATGAACTCCATTTTCATCAGTTCTTCCTTTGCATGAGCATAAGGTCTGTGTAGTGGAGTTTGGCAGTGATGAAACAGCAGTGTGCCAAGATCAGGAGCATCAAACAATCAATTTTTTTCACTCTGCTTTGTGCCAGTTAATACAGTTCCTTAGTTTTGCTGCCAGCATGAGCCTCACAGGTTGGTTAATGATTAAACGATCAGCTTCCTGGGCTTCTAAAATATTCTGTGGAACTCCACTGTCTTTCACAGTGTGTACTCCTCAAGTGAATATTTTGCTCCGTTTAATGCCATGGACTTGAAGGGAATGGATAATGTCTTTGCTGGCAATGCTAATTAATGTTTTAAAAGTTGTATCCAAACCATGCATACACTCAGCTAAGTCTCAGAAAATGTCTTCTCAACTACAGAAATTAATTGCTTTGAATGAGAGGGGAAGGAGCCATGCTAGCTTGTAACAATCTACTTTTAACACCTCTGGTGCTTCTAGAATATGGGACTATAAACAGAGAGGTTTTAAAGTGACTCTTTCTTTCTTCACAATAGATAATACTGCGATGAGGAGCTCTGCCCACCTAAGGGTAGTGGTGCCTGGCATGGCCCACTTAGTTTTTGGGAGGTTTGGTATTCAAAGACCTAGGAGATATTGGTCAAGAGCAAGTTGTCTTTGGTCTAGATAGTGTTTGGGGAGGAAATCCTGTTACTGTTTTCTTAAGTACCCAGAACCAGGAGTCTAGAGCAGTGGGGAACAAAGTTCCTCTTCCTCTAAAGCTCATCCCAGTTGTTTGGAAAAAGGGGAACAGCATATATGCTTCCTCCCCCCTTAATAAACAGGAGACGGCTGCCTGCTGACCCCAAGCACTAATTGGGGAAAAGGGTCTAGCTGAAGGAGAAGCTGGCTACCGACTTGCAGGACCTGTTACAATCCCAGCTCCATACCAGAGAGCTGTGTGGGGGACTCTGTCTTGAAGGACTGGCAGTTTGAATTACAACTGAGCTCCAAGAATGGGACTGGGATGGGAAGGCTCCCGAACAGGGGCAAGAAAAACCTGCCAGGACAGTTATATGGATACAGAGAGCATAAGAACTTGAGTGACTAAAATGGTGAGTTACACTGGGTAGAAAGAATTAATAAACCAGACTCTGTAGGAAGGGACAATAAGATTTGACCTAATCCGAACTGGGTAATTGATGGCAAGAGTTGGAGGCTCACAAGGGGTTGCTCTGAAGGTGATCAGCCCATGTCAAGGACCTTACTGCAGTTACAGGATGATGATGAGTATGGCTGTATCAGGGAGTACCTCCTGGCACAGTGCTGATGTCATCTTTATTTGTGTTTGAAGTTACTGGGTCTGATTTTGATTTTACTTCAACTGGGTTGACATTGATGGAGCTCTGTGAATTCAGTGCAGTTACCCTGGACATAAGATGGAATAGTTTAAATGGGAATCTGGCAAAATATATGAGTGTGTGTGTGTGTGTGTGTGTGTTTGAGAGAGAGAGAGAGAGAGACCATGTATATATGTACATACAGGCACAGAGTAAGTTTTCATTTTAGGATGTGCTTTGTTTTTAATTGATCCTTAGGAAATGGATGGTTTCTGGAGAAGATTGCAGTCAAGGATCCTGTCATAGATATGGATTATTCTTTTCTGTGTCACAGGTTGGTGGTGTTTTTAAATGCGTTATGAGGTAATAATAACTAGTTATTTGTGATTTCTTCACTCAGAGGTAATTCTGGGAGGTGCTTGTCCCCTGAGATTTGACTGAGATGCCCAACTCCTTTTACATGCTCTACCAAACAACCATACAAGGGTAACACTATGGGTGTGTCTAGACTGGCAAGTTTTTCCGCAAAATCATCTGCTTTTGTGGAAAAACTTGCCAGCTGTCAACACCGGCCGCTTGATTTTCCACAAAAGCATTGACTTCCTACTGTAAGAAATCAGTGCTTCTTGCGGAAATACTATGCTGC